AATAAATTTATTATGTTCACTCCGTTTAACAAACTAAAATACTATTGTCCAAAATGCATTTAGAGGCGTATGGGTTAAACTTCCCTTTCTTCAGCTTCTTTTTTTTCAACCTTCTTATAGAAAAGTAAAAGTGTCCATCACTTTAATATTTGCTCCTTTACAAAGTATTCCACCGCCAACATTTCAAAGTTATCCTGCTTCTTGGTTGATTTGCAAACTGAGCAAATATTCTGTTTGTAGTTTTCAGACAGGTCGTCAAAATGTTAAATTACCACGTGTTTTTAAAACTACACAATCTCTGTTATTTGAATGATCATTATTATTATTATTATTATTATTACAGACACTGATGTGGGAGAGTGAGATGGAGCAGCACTGTACTGTCATTAAAAGTACAGAAGCTTTAAAAAACAACATATATTTCTTAAGCTGGGAGAGGAAGGATGAAAACACCGGCGACGTTTGGGTTCAGTGTTTTTGTAAGATTTAAAAACAGTGTGCAGAGATTTGCTTGCAATCTTTGACGATTGAAAACAAGACATCAGTTGTTGGCAACATGTGGAGAGAATCTTCTGACAGGCCAACCTGCACTGAGGACATTCATAATGTTTGATTAAAGAGATCTGCTTCTGGTCTGTGGATTTGTTTGCAGTTTCTTGTATTTGTGCAATTAAAAAGTTTGATTAAAATATTTAAAAAGAGTAAGAATGCTTTTGTAACAGAATAAAAGCACAAAGAGTTTTCAACACACAAAACATTCATTTTTAAGTTAAGTTAAAATATGAGACTATAATTACTGTTGTTGTTGCTGTAGTCTGTACATTTCTATATAGCTGTGTTGCTTTAGAGAGTTAAGACACCATAAAAATTCAGACGGAATAAATAACAACTGAAACAGTATCGCGATATGTTTAGAAACGTGAGTATGAAAACAACAACATTTGTAAATGTTTTGTTTTTGCTCCAGTGACCTGAATCTTTGGACAACAGGCCTCATCTTACATTACACCTGGAGCCTTTACATCCAGTGTATTAGTCTTAAACACACCTGTGAGCCTTCCTTCACCCATCAGATGAAATCCCCCTAAATAAGTTTGTGTGTGAGGTGAGAAAGAGAAGCAGTTTGTTTGGAGCTAAGCTGCTAGCTGCCTGCAGGAGCTAACGGGACTCACCGAGCGATCTGGTTCCTCCGGATATGGTGCAGGAAGCCGTGGCTCATATCCAAACGACCTGAACGTTTGTATTTCTGCTCAAGAGACTCATCGTCCCCCAAAATATCCATGTCAACAAACAGTTTCAGCACGGTTAAAGGATCTGGTTGCAACAAGTCTCAGTCAGATCCATGAACACTGACAAAAAGCTACATGCTAGCTCAGGAAATTGTTGTCCGACTGTAACTATCCCGGAGTTCACGAGTAGTTCCGTCTAAAGACAAGCAAACACACACACGGACGTTTTTACGGAAGAGGATTAGTGCCAGGCATGAGAAATAAATAATGTGATGAGTGCGAGTAAAATGTGAAGAATATAAACGAAATACACAATTTAAATTAAATTTAATTGTATTCAAACGTTATTCCTGACAATTTAATTTTTTTTCTCGCAATATTTCGACCTTTTTCTTGTAGGTCGCAAAATCGGGGGAAAAAATCTCCCTCATTTTATTAATTTGTTATAATAATAATAATAATAATAACTTAATAATAATAACTTTATTTATATAGCACCTTTTAAAACACAGGTTTACAAAGTGTTTTGACAAACAGCAAAAACATGAAGAAACTAAAGCAAACACAGAAGAACATAAACAAAAACAAGAACAAACTAAAGCAAACACAGAAGAACATAAACAACAACAAGAACAAACTAAACCAAACACAGAAGAACATAAACAACAACAAGAACAAACTAAACACAGAAGAACATAAACAACAACAAGAACAAACTAAACACAGAAGAACATAAACAACAACAAGAACAAACTAAACCAAACACAGAAGAACATAAACAAAAACAAGAACAAACTAAACCAAACACAGAAGAACATAAACAACAACAAGAACAAACTAAACCAAACACAGAAGAACATAAACAAAAACAAGAACAAACTAAAGCAAACACAGAAGAACATAAACAAAAACAAGAACAAACTAAACCAAACACAGCAGAACATAAACAAAAACAAACAAACTAAACCAAACACAGCAGAACATAAACAAAAACAAACAAACTAAACCAAACACAGAAGAACATAAACAACAGCAAGAACAAACTAAAGCAAACACAGAAGAACATAAACAAAAACAAGAACAAACTAAAGCAAACACAGAAGAACATAAACAAAAACAAGAACAAACTAAACCAAACACAGAAGAACATAAACAAAAACAAGAACAAACTAAACCAAACACAGCAGAACATAAACAACTGCAAGAACAAACTAAACCAAACACAGAAGAACATAAACAAAAACAAGAACAAACTAAACCAAACACAGAAGAACATAAACAAAAACAAGAACAAACTAAACCAAACACAGAAGAACATAAACAAAAACAAGAACAAACTAAAGCAAACACAGAAGAACATAAACAACAACAAGAACAAACTAAACCAAACACAGAAGAACATAAACAAAAACAAACAAACTAAACCAAACACAGAAGAACATAAACAACAACAAGAACAAACTAACCAAACACAGAAGAACATAAACAACAAGAACAAACTAAACCAAACACAGAAGAACATAAACAAAAACAAGAACAAACTAAACCAAACACAGAAGAACATAAACAAAAACAAGAACAAACTAAAGCAAACACAGAAGAACATAAACAACAACAAGAACAAACTAAACCAAACACAGAAGAACATAAACAAAAACAAACAAACTAAACCAAACACAGAAGAACATAAACAACAACAAGAACAAACTAAACCAAACACAGAAGAACATAAACAACAAGAACAAACTAAACCAAACACAGAAGAACATAAACAAAAACAAGAACAAACTAAAGCAAACACAGAAGAACATAAACAAAAACAAGAACAAACTAAAGCAAACACAGAAGAACATAAACAAAAACAAGAACAAACTAAACCAAACACAGAAGAACATAAACAAAAACAAGAACAAACTAAAGCAAACACAGAAGAACATAAACAAAAACAAGAACAAACTAAACCAAACACAGAAGAACATAAACAAAAACAAGAACAAACTAAACCAAACACAGAAGAACATAAACAAAAACAAACAAACTAAACCAAACACAGAAGAACATAAACAACAACAAGAACAAACTAAACCAAACACAGAAGAACATAAACAAAAACAAGAACAAACAAATGTAAAATACTAAAAATAATTAAATACAATTCAACAGAAAAGAACCCAAAGTGCACGATACCCAACAGACATATAGAACCAGACCATCACAAGAACCATCATAAGAACCATCACAAGAACCATCACAAGAACCATCACAAGAACCATCACAAGAACCATCATAAGAACCATCACAAGAACCATCACAAGAACCATCACAAGAACCATCACAAGAACCATCATAAGAACCATCACAAGAACCATCATAAGAACCATCACAAGAACCATCACAAGAACCATCACAAGAACCATCATAAAGAACCATCACAAGAACCATCAGAAGAAAGATAAGAACCTTTATGTCTTGCCCAAATCCTCTTACAAACTTTTTCATATTGAGAAAACGCATACAAACATTCAACATAGAAAACAAGTGTGTTCAATAATGATCAATAATCAGCTTTATATCAATCAATCAATCAAACTTTATTTATACAGCACCTTTCAGACAAATTAAATTGCAGTTCAAAGTGCTTTACAAGAGTGCAGAAAAGTTGTTGACAAAAAGTATTTTATAAAATAATTGAGAGACTAATGCACACCAATAAGAATTAAAAAATATGTATAAAAATAAAATAAAATAAAATAAAATACGACACATAAAAGCAATAAGATATTAAAATTAATACATAAGAGGAAAATATTTAAAATTGTCGTAGGATAAAAAAGACAGACAAAGACAAAAAGACAGCTTTATATCAATTCAAATCTTAACATTACTTTATTTATCCGACTACAATTTTAAATATTTTCCTCTTATGTATTTATTTTAATATCTTATTGCTTTTATGTGTCGTATTTTATTTTATTTAATTTTTATACACATTTTTTAAATTGTTATTGGTGTGCATTAGTCTCTCAATGATTTTATAAACTACCTTTTTGTCAACAACTTTTCTGCACTCTTGTTAAACACTCTGAACTGCAATTTAATTTGTCTGAAAGGTGCTGTATAAATAAAGTTTGATTGAATAAATAAAGTAAATAATAGTGTTGCCTTGTTATTAGTTGTACAGTTATGTTATTTACAACGATTGGACTTGTTCATATTTTTAATATTGTACTAAAATATAGATATAATATTTAAAATTCACTCTACCGCCCACCGGAAGCACCAAAATAAAAGTTCGAGGAAGCGATCCAACCATCGTCTCCTTTTTGGTGCTTCCGGTGGGCGGTAGAGTTAATTTGAAAATTAGCTAAATATTTATAATTTAAACTAAATGTTTAGAAACGTAGCTAAATATTTAGAAATCAAAGCTAAATATTTAAATATCGTAGCTAAATATTTAGAATCAGGACATGTATTTTAACATTTATATAAAACATTCAACATTAAGATATAATATTTAACATTTATATTTGCCAATGAAATTATCTTAAATTTTTATTCACAAAATTAAATTTGACAAAGTTCACAAATATTTCTCTAAATGTGAATAAAAGGTGATGTTTTAGGGCTAAATGTGGAGAAATGTTGTTGTTATTTGTAGTGTTGTTTATGTGTAACTCCGGGTTAGGTTTTTGTCGGACGGTTGATGAGGACGGACCCCGACGCGCTCTTGTCGGACGGTTGATGAGGACGGACCGCGACGCGCTCTTGTCGGACGGTTGATGAGGACGGACCGCGACGCGCTCTTGTCGGACGGTTGATGAGGACGGACCGCGACGCGCTCTGTGAGCTTCATTCATCAGCTGAAGTTTCTTCTTCTCTTTGTACAATAATAATAATAACTCTTTATCTGCTGTGATGGTTTCTGTGAAGAGAGAAAGAGAGGCTGAGGTGGACGATGATGATGACGACAGAGGTAAGTTATAAACACGATTCTTCAACGTGTGGTTAGCTGTTAGCTGTTAGCGGTTAGCTGTTAGCGGTTAGCTGTTAGCCTGAGAGCTAATGAGAGAAACATTTTTAACTCTCGTTTCTGTTCTGACATCAACACGTGTGTCACCACTACAGTACAGTTTAAACAGGGTTTTAAAAACACGGTACTTCCAGTTCAATCCTTTCAAAATAAAACTCAACTTTTCATAACATCACAAAAACTAAGTTAGCGAGCTTGTTATGCTAACTGATATTCACTCTCTTGTGTTTGTAACAAAACATAACAAACATAACAAAAATAACAAACATAACAAACATCTCAACATAACAAACATCTCAACATAACAAACATAACAAACATCTCAACATAACAAACATAACAAACATAACAAACATCTCAACATAACAAACATAACAAACATAACAAACATAACAAACATCTCAACATAACAAACATCTCAACATAACAAACATAACAAACATAACAAACATAACAAACATAACAAACATCTCAACATAACAAACATCTCAACATAACAAACATAACAAACATCTCAACATAACAAACATAACAAACATAACAAACATCTCAACATAACAAACATAACAAACATAACAAACATCTCAACATAACAAACATAACAAACATAACAAACATAACAAACATCTCAACATAACAAACATAACAAACATAACAAACATCTCAACATAACAAACATCTCAACATAACAAACATAACAAACATCTCAACATAACAAACATAACAAACATCTCAACATAACAAACATAACAAACATCTCAACATAACAAACATCTCAACATAACAAACATCTCAACATAACAAACATAACAAACATAACAAACATCTCAACATAACAAACATAACAAACATAACAAACATAACAAACATAACAAACATCTCAACATAACAAACATAACAAACATAACAAACATCTCAACATAACAATAACAAACATAACAAACATCTCAACATAACAAACATCTCAACATAACAAACATAACAAACATCTCAACATAACAAACATAACAAACATCTCAACATAACAAACATAACAAACATCTCAACATAACAAACATAACAAACATCTCAACATAACAAACATAACAAACATCTCAACATAACAAACATCTCAACATAACAAACATAACAAACATAACAAACATAACAAACATAACAAACATCTCAACATAACAAACATCTCAACATAACAAACATAACAAACATCTCAACATAACAAACATAACAAACATAACAAACATCTCAACATAACAAACATAACAAACATCTCAACATAACAAACATAACAAACATAACAAACATCTCAACATAACAAACATAACAAACATAACAAACATAACAAACATCTCAACATAACAAACATAACAAACATAACAACATCTCAACATAACAAACATCTCAACATAACAAACATAACAAACATCTCAACATAACAAACATAACAAACATCTCAACATAACAAACATAACAAACATCTCAACATAACAAACATCTCAACATAACAAACATCTCAACATAACAAACATAACAAACATAACAAACATCTCAACATAACAAACATAACAAACATAACAAACATAACAAACATAACAAACATCTCAACATAACAAACATAACAAACATAACAAACATCTCAACATAACAAACATAACAAACATAACAAACATCTCAACATAACAAACATCTCAACATAACAAACATAACAAACATCTCAACATAACAAACATAACAAACATCTCAACATAACAAACATAACAAACATAACAAACATCTCAACATAACAAACATCTCAACATAACAAACATAACAAACATCTCAACATAACAAACATCTCAACATAACAAACATAACAAACATCTCAACATAACAAACATCTCAACATAACAAACATAACAAACATCTCAACATAACAAACATAATAAACATCTCAACATAACAAACATAACAAACATAACAAACATCTCAACATAACAAACATAATAAACATCTCAACATAACAAACATAACAAACATCTCAACATAACAAACATCTCAACATAACAAACATCTCAACAAACATCTCAACATAACAAACATCTCAACATAACAAACATAACAAACATCTCAACATAACAAACATCTCAACATAACAAACATAACAAACATCTCAACATAACAAACATAACAAACATAACAAACATAACAAACATCTCAACATAACAAACATCTCAACATAACAAACATAACAAACATAACAAACATAACAAACATCTCAACATAACAAACATCTCAACATAACAAACATCTCAACATAACAAACATAACAAACATCTCAACATAACAAACATCTCAACATAACAAACATAACAAACATCTCAACATAACAAACATCTCAACATAACAAACATAACAAACATCTCAACATAACAAACATAACAAACATCTCAACATAACAAACATCTCAACATAACAAACATAACAAACATCTCAACATAACAAACATAACAAACATCTCAACATAACAAACATAACAAACATAACAAACATAACAAACATCTCAACATAACAAACATCTCAACATAACAAACATCTCAACATAACAAACATCTCAACATAACAAACATAACAAACATCTCAACATAACAAACATAACAAACATAACAAACATCTCAACATAACAAACATCTCAACATAACAAACATCTCAACATAACAAACATCTCAACATAACAAACATAACAAACATCTCAACATAACAAACATAACAAACATCTCAACATAACAAACATCTCAACATAACAAACATCTCAACATAACAAACATAACAAACATCTCAACATAACAAACATCTCAACATAACAAACATAACAAACATAACAAACATCTCAACATAACAAACATAACAAACATCTCAACATAACAAACATAACAAACATCTCAACATAACAAACATCTCAACATAACAAACATAACAAACATCTCAACATAACAAACATCTCAACATAACAAACATAACAAACATAACAAACATCTCAACATAACAAACATCTCAACATAACAAACATCTCAACATAACAAACATCTCAACATAACAAACATAACAAACATAACAAACATCTCAACATAACAAACATAACAAACATCTCAACATAACAAACATAACAAACATCTCAACATAACAAACATAACAAACATCTCAACATAACAAACATAACAAACATCTCAACATAACAAACATCTCAACATAACAAACATCTCAACATAACAAACATCTCAACAAACATCTCAACATAACAAACATCTCAACATAACAAACATCTCAACATAACAAACATAACAAACATCTCAACATAACAAACAACATAACAAACATCTCAACATAACAAACATCTCAACATAACAAACATAACAACAAGAGAGTGGTGTTAAACTGAATATATCAGGAACATCATCACTGCAGGGCTGATATCCAGTATTATAGTGTTTTATTCAGCAGCTAAACAAGCAGGAAACAGTTTTAACAAGTAAAAATGTTAAATCATTTTTAACTCCATCAGCTCAAAGAGAGGAGAGGAGAGAGGAGAGAATATAATATAATATAATAGAATTACTTTATTGATCCCAAACTGGGAAATTGTGGCGTTACAGCAGCAGGTTATCCAAACACACAATATGAGTAAAAAACACAATGTTAGCAAATTTAAACACAATATAATATTAAATACAAAGTAAATAAACACTAAAAATATCAAAACTAAGAATGAGAATATATACAACCAGGATTTAACTTAGCACTACTAGTCTGAAATATGAAAGATTAAATGTAAATGTGCAAAAACAGAGTAGTAAATGAACAGTATTGACATAAGTTAAAGTGCAGGAGTGTAGACATATAATAATACATTATTGTATTATAATATGTTCATATCACCTCAATAAATGATCGACCTGTACAATATGTCCATATTCTCTTTAATATCTGTAATCTAGTACAGCATGCTCACTGCACCTTAATCTGTATATTATAATCTGAAGAATATACTTATATTTATAGCATTTATTTATATTTATAGCATCCCATTAATCCAGCCATATAGACCCAATAATTCACTTTTTTTAGTCTACATCTGTAAATTTTGTAATTACTGTACATAGCACAGATTCTTGCACTTTCTGCTTATTGCACTTCTGGTGAGATGCCAAACCTCATTCTGTACTCTATGCTTGGAAATGTTTAATGACTATAAAGTTGAATCTCATCTCATCTCTCATATTATCAGCAGAAACTATTCAATATAATGGAGAGTAGACAGACAAATGAAGTGAACATGAGTGCAGGGATAATTTGTAAATGTAACATGTGCAGAACAGATGACAGTATGGAGAGACAGATATTATCATGATGACAGTTCTCTGCTCGCATGAGGTGAGCTGTTGTACAGAGTTATGGCCTTCGGTAGGAAAGATTGTATCTGTCCTTGTGACAGCAGAGTTGTATCAGTCTGTTGGAGAAGCTGCTCGGCTGTTTGTCCAGTAGGGTGTGCAGAGGGTGATCAGGATTATCCATAATGGATAACAGTTTGTTAAGAGTCCTCCTCTCTGTCACCACTACAAAAGAGTCCAGCTTGCAGCCTATCACAGAGCAGGCCTTCTTAATGAGTTTGTCCAGTCTCTTAGTGTCACCAGCTCCAATGCTGCTCCCCCAGCAGACCACAGCAGAGAACAGTGCACTGGCCACAACAGACTGATAGATCTCCAACATCTTGCTGCACACGTTGAAGGATCTCAGCTTCCTCAGAAAGTAGAGTCGGCTCATCCCCTTCTTGTACACAGCCTGAGTGTTGGCCTTCCAGTTCAACATACTGATAGTCTGTTGCCAAGCAACCCAAACATTCTATTCTACACTTTCTGTTGGTGTCCATGGTTACCACAGAGCAGCTACTCTGTAGTATGAACCTTCACTTGTTAAAATAAATTAATTTAATCATGAAACCAGGAAAATTAAAGGCTGTTGAAGATTGAAGGGAAATTCTGTTTTTACACTCTGTAGTCATGCAACACACACATGCACAAACAGGATCCTGTGAACATGCACTAATGGAGAGATGTCAGAGTGACGGAGCGGCCCACAGTGGGCGCTCCTGAGCTGGTGGTGGGGAGGGGGTTTGGTGCCTTGCTCAAGGGCACCTCGGCAGTGCTCAGGAAGCGATCTGGCACCTCTCCAGCTACCAGACCAACGTCTATATTTGGTCCACACCGGGACTTGAACCGGTGACCCTCCGCCCCATGAGATTGATGAATAAAGAAAAACTCTGTCAGCTGTAAATGTCCAGTGCGAATGCTAAATGAAGCTGACCTGTCATTCCCCTCTCTCTCTCTCTCTCTCTCTCTCTCTCTCTCTCTCTCCCTCCCTCCCTCTCCCTGATTTCTGACTCTTATCGACTGTCCTATCTCTAAATAAAAGCATAAAAAGGCCAAATGTAACCCTTTAAAAAAAATACATGTGTAATATTTTACCATTGCTACATATTCAATCTGTTTTTTTATATTTTGTTCCTCTTCCTTTTTCAGTTGCCCCTAAAATGAGTCGAGGACGTGTAACAGAAGACCGGAGAAGTCGTCACTGTCCTTACCTCGACACCATAAACAGGTATGAAAAAATGTAATTGTATAAGTATTGTTGGTGCCAAATTCCATTCAGCCCTGTCCTCTTCAGCCAGCAGCTGATTCTCATCTTGTTTTTGTATCCATCAGGAGTGTGCTGGACTTTGACTTTGAGAAACTCTGCTCCATCTCCCTCTCCCACATCAATGTCTATGCCTGCCTTATATGTGGGAAATACTTTCAAGGTAGGTGATGTGTCTGACTTTTACCCACAGATCAGTCACATCGCTCTACTTGTTGGACTGATCTTTTTTTTCATGCACTTCCTTCTAGGTCGAGGTCTTAAGTCCCATGCTTACACTCACAGTGTGCAGTTCACTCATCACGTGTTCCTGAATCTGCACACTCTCAAGTTCTACTGTCTGCCCGACAACTACGAGATCATCGACTCTTCACTGGAAGACATCACGGTGAGTAGAGACGTTGAGGTGCACGCTCATGATGACGTTTAAAACAAATGTTGAATTCAATTTGATGTTCAGCACCATCCTCAAAAAAAAATCACCTTAAATCTCTCGCCAAGTGCTGTCAAGGTTAGAGCGAGTGTTGTAGTCAAGACCACACTGACCGAGACCAAGGTCAGAAAAAAATCAAGCTACAAATGAATGATTCTTTTAGAGAGGCGAGTTTTCCTTCTAATCACAGTAATGTGATGTCAGCTCAGTCTGAGCCCGAGAAAAGGCAGAGTAAAAATGCTTTTTGATTCTGAGATGAGACCGAGACCTTCAAAAAGTGGTCTGGAGACAGAGACCGATTTCGAGTACTACAACACTAGTTAGAGCTAAAACGTAAACAATCTATATTTATTGTGTAAGAAAACATTGTATTTTGGAGTACTTTATTTCATTTATAACAAAGCTTATAAACTAAGACTGCACAATTTTGGAAAGAGCTAACATTACAGTATTTTTCTTTCTGTGATATTCATTGGAAATGAAAAGTAAAGGACATTTTGCCAGATAAACAGTGTTTTAGAAAAGATACCAACAATAACGTGCAATCAATCACATTTTCAAAAAGCATACTTAAAAGAGCTTTTAAGTCTTTAAATGCCACTTTTTTGAAACAGAACCTCTGTGTTTTTAATTGTTTTGACCCTTTCTGATTGTCTCCACAGTATGTGCTGAAGCCAACTTTCACCAAGCAGCACATCGCAGGTCTGGATAAGCAGGGAAAGCTGTACCGAGCATACGATGGAACAACCTACCTGCCGGGCATCGTAGGCCTCAACAACATCAAAGCCAATGACTACGCCAACGCCGTGTTACAGGTATGAAGAAACGCCTCAGATCACCTTTTTCTGGACGTGTTGACAACTTCTAATGTGTCCCCAATCATTTAATATCTACTTTCTCTTCTTAGGCTTTTTCTAATGTTCCACCGCTGAGAAACTATTTCCTGGAGGAAGAAAACTACAGGGGCATCCGCAGACCGCCGGGGGACATCATGTTCCTCTTGGTGCAGAGGTTCGGTGAGCTGATGCGCAAACTTTGGAATCCGAGAAACTTCAAGGCTCATGTGTCACCGCACGAGATGCTGCAGGCCGTGGTGCTGTGCAGCAAGAAGAACTTCCAAATTACCAAGCAAGGTAACGCTTCAGCTGACAGAACCCATAATACTGTACATGACACAAGCAGGATTTAACACATGCTGCACTGTGAAGATGAAGAGTGTGGTGCTGACTGATCGCTCTCTGTTCTGCAGGAGATTCTGTCGACTTCATGACGTGGTTCTTGAATGCTCTGCATGGCGCTCTGGGAGGCACAAAGAAAAAACCTTGTAAGTAGAGCATATGATATTCTACTAATTTACTGATATATTCAAAGTATACTGAAGAGTACACTAATGTTACGAGTGTCAAATAAAACACCTGAGCCTTTTTTGTAAACGTGCACTCCTGAAATATTCAGACCATCTGCCCCTGAAATCTTCCTGAGCTGCTCGTTCACATGATTCCCTCACCACAGGAAGATTTCTCTAACGATGCTACAATAACTGTAGAAAGTATTTGTGCAAGCCGGTTCAAAATTAAAGCTTCTGCATGAGGACTATCATTATTTTTTATTTGAAGTTTGATCATTAATTCGAACCTGGGTGAGGAAGTTCACATTCAAACTGTAGTGAGACGTTCAAATTTAAAATATACACTCTATCAGCGCTCCAGGCTCTGAAGTAGTTTGCATTTTGATCCAGCAGAGGGCGCTCTCAGTGTAACTTAACCATTGCATGCTATATTAACCTCAGTAAATGAAGACAGTTATGTTGTGGTTAAAGCAACGGGGGCGTGATTCAGGAGATTCAGACTTGCATGAGGGAGACTCGTCTCTCTGCAGACAGCAGCCCACTGATTTGGTGGAGAGACACAGGAACGCTACAAACCTGCAAATATATGTGTGTACCGCGAACCTCTGTGGGCTCTGAACGGTAGTTCTCGTTCTCGTCAGCAGATAATATTGTGAATAAAAAGAGAGCTGCACTCGATCCCAATAAAGTTTATTTACTTGTGTTTCTGGGGAATGATATTAAGAATTAAATCAGTATTTACACCTCACCCAAAAGACCTTGTGAAAGTTTTGTGCATGTGTGAATAAGGCTTTGGAGACAGTCTACAGTTTAAGTGTGAATCTTATTTTTGTTCCTTCTTCTTTCTGTTTTTTTGCTCTCATAGCAATCATTACAAAAGCATTTCAAGGCTCTATGAGAATCTTCTCCAAGAAACTTCCACATCCAGATTTAGTAAGTTTACCTCCCTACAATCCTTTGACACCACATAATGTTTTTTTTCGTCCTCATTTATTTTAATTGTATTTCATGGTCTTGTTTTCCAGCTACCAGAGGAGAAAGAGGCGTTGCTGGTAACAGAGGAGTACCAGGAGCAGATGTCTGAGTCCACCTTTCTGTTCCTGACCCTCGACCTCCCGACAGCTCCACTTTACAAGGACGAGAAGGAGCAGCTGATTATCCCCCAGGTCCCGCTCTTCAACATCCTGGGCAAGTTCAATGGCAACACAGAGAAGGTACCAGTTCACTCACACCTTCTATCCTTATTTATATTTATATATATATATATGTGTGTGTGTGTGTATATATATATATATATATATGTGCATGATGAATTCAAAGTATAAAAAATGACTTAATGCAACATTTCCTACCTCAGGAATACAAAACCTACAAAGAGAACTTCCTCAAAAAGTTCCAGCTGACCAAACTGCCTCCATACCTCGTCTTTTGCATCAAAAGATTCACCAAGAACAACTTCTTTGTGGAAAAGAACCCCACCATTGTTAACTTCCCGATCACGTGAGTGCTGTTCATGTCAGTAAAACTAAAGATTAAGTACATTAGGTACATGCGGATAATTAGGGATGCAGCCGATTGTTGATTGTGATACTGATGTTTGGTACTTGTGTTCTAGCATGAAATAGAACAGAGTTTGTCTGACAGGTGATTTCTGCTGCTCTTCTCTGAATCAGCAGCTAGGTGTACTAGGTAGCAGCATTACATTTATACGGCACAACAGACAAACATCAGTTCATGCCACATTATTTGCAGATGTGCTGATATGTGTCAACAGGGCCGATATCGTTGTTAAGCATTGGTGCATCCCAACTGATAATCTTAAAGTATGATTATTATCATTTTCATGTGTAATGTTGTTTTGAAAAGTGCTGTCACAGGCGTGTGTATTTTGTTGTAAAAGGTCTCATGTTCTCTTCCTCTTCAACCAGTTTAAATAAGTCTCAGAGCTCCTCAAAACATGGTGTGAAGTTTCTTGTTCTAAATCCACTCTGATCCTGTATTTGATCATGTCTATAAACCCCTCTATTTCAGCCCTGCTCAGAACAGACTGTTTCTGTACCTTTAAATATGTAAATGAGCTGTGTCTGACCACGCCCCCTCTCTGGGAGGACATGGGTGTACTCGAGGCTTTCTCGCTCCATGTCCTTTTGTTTACAGTGAGAAGGCAGACTCAGAGGGCAGAACAAACACCTAGCTGTGGGAGTGTCACCCACCTGGGGGAGGGGCTACTGCCCTTTGTGATGTCATGTAGGGAAAATCTCCAAACGGCCTGTTTGAGCACACATTTTCTGAAAAGTGGAGCAGGGAGAAGACTGAGAGGATGGACTTTTCTCATCATTGGGGGGTTTGTAGACAGACTAGGGATACATTAGTGTTAGAAAAACATGGTGAAGTGGATTTTGGATAATATGTGACCTTTTTATTTTAAATATTCACTTGTTCATGAAGTCACTTTGTGTTTGCTTCAACAGGAATGTCGACCTTCGTGAGTACTTGACAGAAGAAGCTCAAGTTACAGAGAAGCACACAACTTATGACCTAGTCGCCAACGTAGTGCATGATGGGAAACCCACCGAGGGAGCGTACAGGATACATGTTCTTCATCATGTAGGTTGAAGACAAATATTTCCATGATTTCTGATGTCCCTGCTGCAAACATTCTTAACACATGCGAGTAGCTGTGATTAAATCAAGCCAGCGTTGTGTTTATTCCTCACTACACCTCTCTGTGTTTGATCAGGGGACCGGGAAGTGGTACGAGATGCAGGACCTGCAGGTGACCGACATCCTCCCCCAGATGATCACACTGTCCGAAGCCTACATCCAGGTAAGTCCTCCCGCTCGTTCTGTTGAGGTTGCAAAATTATACAGAGGCTTGAATAAACTCACTTTTCATCAGCTGCTATTTGAAACATATTTGTGCCTCAATATTTTATAATGCGGCTTCTGATATTTGAGTAGTAGACTATTTTAGACTTTATTTTCCCTTTGGGGAAATTCCTTTTTGTCCAACAGACAACACTCACCAAAAAACACAAAACAGAGTGTATGAAACAAACATAACAGAGTACGTGCGCCATCTTTACTGCCATGAACGTACAGGGTAAAGAAGGTCTACTCTTCTGGAGCAGCTAGTGATTTAAAATAAACTAACAAGTATTCCACTATTGTTCTTCACAGAACAAAGATACTGGTGATATCAAAGCACTCAGAGTCAAAAGGAGGATCTGTGATTTTAACACCTGCTGTTTTCTCTCTCCATGCCTACTTCCAAATAAAATATTTAAAAATGATAAAGAGCAGCTTTCCTTTAGCCTGCAGCTGCACTTCTGGAGAGCGCACGGCAACTGCACAGGTCCGAGGTGACAGAGAAACAGCAGAAACGAGTTCTACAGAACTTAAAAATCCTCCTTGCTTCCCTGGCGACATTTTAATCTTGAGATCAGCTCAGGTTGACAAAAAATAAACATTTTTGGATGCAGGTGAGGAAACCAAAGCTGGAGATGTACATAGTTGTCTCGTTGTCTTGTTTTAATCTACAGTTTTGGTTTTATCAATTCTTCTTCCATTTTTTCCGAGCACCTGGCTCGGCCTGGTGGATAGGATGTATTTGATATTTCACACACTGTCTTTTTAAGAATAACTGACTCCTGTTTATAACTTGTATCTGTTAGAAAACAGTTTGGGCTGAGGTAAAGAAAGTGTTAGCCAATATTTAAAAACATGTATAAGAAGCCATTTTCAGATGTTCCCTTTCAAAAGTGTCTTAACTAAGCTCAGCTGTCATCATGGTCTTTGTAAGCCTCTGTTACTACCTCTGAAGACGGTACAGAGGGGGGGAGGGGTCAATTCGTCCCACCATTACGCCTCAGTTAATGCTGCATCATTCCTCCCTGAAGAGCTGCTATGACACTTTATGACATCTGGTGTTTAAGGGGTTAAATTCTTCCTGTAATTAGTTAATGTTAACCTGAATATTATCAGGAGTTTCAGTATGAAGACGACGTCAGCAGCTTTCAGTACAAGCTGAATCTGATCTCACTTCACATCGTTGTTCAATACGACTGTGAAGTTTAGTTAACAAAAATCTTTTTCCCTTCTCTTCTTAGATCTGGAAGAGACAAGGAGGCGATGATGACGATGACACAAACAACCACACAGGGCTGTAAGTGAGGCAGCATTTTCCTCAGTGTGAGCGACCCTGATAACGGCTTTGTCCCTCTTTTGGAAATGAACTGGGTTATTTAATCAATGGGGAAAAAAACACAGCATACAGAGGGAGTGTGACAAAACTTGTTCTCAAAGTTTCAAATCAATGTAAATGTCTGGTTTTATCTTTTTACTTTGTGGAAGTTTCTAAATAAACAAGCTCCAAAACAAACAAGCAGCGTGTTTCTGGTTGTGGAATATGAGTTACAAATGTTACGGATTTGAAATGAGTTATAGAAATTATTCAAGAGTGTTTGAGTCAAAATACAGCAACAGGGGCGCCGGTGGCTGAGGGGTTAGTTTGGGTGCCAGAGGCTGTGTGGTCCTTCAGGCGGGCGGCCCGGGTTCAAATCTGACCTGTGCCCTCTTCCCGCATGCCATCCTCTCTCTCTCTCCCTGATTTCTGACTCTATCCAGTCTCTGATCTCTCTAATGAAGGCACAAATAAAAACCCCACAGCAACAAGTTCAAAAAAGAAGCGACACTTCTTTGTGTGGTCAGTTGTCCGATAGTGTTTTATTACATACTGAAAGTTCATCTTATGTGAAGATGGACAACGGCTCTTACAGTTTCCACATTCACAAAAACATATTTGAAGCATTTTTAGTGAATGACACAGTGCACAGAACAGGAAACCCTCCAGACTGAACTCCAGCCTCAAGTCTTATGACACTACATGCAAGCTGGAGGAAATCACGAGACATTCATTTATGGCTCAATTCAGTTAATTATAAAAAAAAAAAGCAAACAAGATCCTAATCTCAAGAAATCAAAGTTGATCAGTGCATTATATATGTAGAACTCAATCGTTGATTAGTGTAATAACATTTTTATTTGAAAGTGCAGATATATTTTCAGAGCAGACCCGAGCTTTCACTCCTTCCACATGAACTTCTCACAGAAGGCCTGATTCTGCAGATCAAAACACAAAACAGGATGTGAAACATTGGAAACCACAGCATGACTTTAATCAGTCCAATCAGGAACAGTGGTGATCAGCACAGACGGGGTAGGAGACCCGTGTGCGTTCATGGTGTTACTACTTTTTTACGGAGCGATAAAAGGAATTTCATGCCTCTTACATTTCTTTTGTTATGGTCTAAATGTTTAACATTTCCTTGAGAGTTAGAAATTCCTGCCTTCCCTTCTTTAGTTGTTTAACACTACTCAGGGGCGGAGCCAGACTTTTTCATCACAGCGGTCAAACTGGGGCAGTGACTTATTCAGGGGCGGTGTGAAGTTTGTACAGACACATGCATAAGAAGCATTTATATTTATTCTTTCTATCTCCACTATACACATGTATGCTAACAATTAACATTTAAGAGTCTGACAGATGTTACGTGTTATTGCATGTTAATTTCAGATGATGGCAAATGACTGATGAAAACTTACACCACATTTCTTAGCAGTCTGAACGTCCCTGCACCAGTACTTTGGTCCCCAAGTGCAGCGATTCTTTCCCAGCAGCTCCACCTTCTTTGAGGCGATGCAGAGATCAGCTCTCTGTAAGACGGAAATGATTAACAAACACTTATTGGTCTACTTTTAGCATGCAAACTGCAGAAATGTGTCTTTGACTTGAGCCACAAAATCAGAGGAGGTCGAGATCAGAAAATGAAGCAGCAGACTTGATAAAGTGTACATTCTTGGCTTCACTATTTAGCTAAAGACTTGCAAACTATGTCAGTTAATGAATATTATTTAACTGTTATATTAAGTGTAGACAAAGTGGATCTTAATTTTTCCTCTTTGTCCCGATAGTGTGAAAGGTCATTGTTCACACACACACATTTTTTTAGAAGTCTTATTCTTACTTCACAGGCATGTGGACCGTCCATCTGGTTTCCTAAAACCTCCTGCAGTCGTGATCCGTAGACTGTTAGGAAAGCCTCGCACTGAAAAAAGAAGGATTTGTAATACAGAGTGAGAGAGGGGATTTTATTCTTAAGCATCTTGAGCTCCTAACAATGTCTAGAATCCTTTCTTGAGCAAAAAAAAGTAAGAAGCAGCTTGAAATCGTCACACCTGCCCACTTGCTGGGGGTTGGGGGTTCTCTTGGCTCACCCTGACTTTTTGCAGAAATTACTGGGGAGCTGGCAGGAAAACTATTCACCATTAGCATTCACACTTTTCTTTTCAGGAGTTTTGCACATGTGTAGAAAGGACTTAAGTCTACTTTGCTGAAACAGCCACTTTACTAAAACCTCTACTTAACATTCAAACAGGAAATCATAATCCACCTAATTACATTAAAGTAGAAAGAGACCTCGTATGATATCCTGTTCAAACTTGTATGAAGGATTGTGATTTCTGAGGGATCATTTGATTCATGATGTGCTGGTGGTCAGACCTTGGGGATGGCATTCGGGTGCTGGACACACACAGACTGCAGGAAAGAGGAAAACTCAGGTTGGGTGGAGTTTGGACTCAGGTGAAGTCTGCTGAGAACAGCCAGCGTGCGGCACGAGTCACAGTCAGAGGGAGGGAGAACCTCTGGGTGAACATGAAGGAAGAGGGAAGTTAAAACCCTTTAATGAAGAATGGCCTGATGTTGACTTAATACATGATGTGACTGACCTGGTTCAGGCTGCTCGTTGAACATACAGAGGTGTAGTAGAGTACATATTGTGTGAGGAGCGGCAGACGATAGGAGGAACTCGACGATCTCCGTCCCGTATTTGTCCACAAAATCATCACACTCGTCTTTGTAGCTGTGTGGTATCAGATCACACACCTCCTCCATGAGCTTCATCAAAGCATCCTGCGGGAAAAGAGATGTTAACATGACGAGGTGTAGAGTGAGGGAGTTCTGTAGTGACTGAGAGCAGAGTGTACCCGGACCAAGACGAGACCGACTGTTAAGGGATCACGTTGTGCTGTAGTCAAGACCACACTGACCGAGACCAAGATGTACCTGAGACCAGAGGGCTCAGAGACCGAGACATTAGGGACTGAGACCGAGACTTAGACCATAACACTGAGAATGCTGCAGCCGTAACTTGGGGATAAAAATCAGACTACAAATATATTGAAGTTATTTGTTCTTTTAAAAAGAGGCGTTTTCCCTCTAATCACAGTAATGACATGGAACATTTGTTTTTCAGTGGTGGTCTTGACCGGTCTTGGAGTTAAAATCCGGAGTCCTCCCAGTCTGAGGCCGAGACAAGACCGAGTAAAAATTCTTTCGATTCCGAGATGAGACTGAGACCTTCAAAAAGTGGTCTGGAGACCGGTCTTTAGACCAAGGTGAAGACCGAGCTAAACAGGGCGCGGGACATTACCGCTAGGCTATCGGCGCTCCCACACTCAACCTCTCTTTGGGTCGTCTCCACACACTCCCACTTGTGCAAAAAGAGGCAGAGAAGGTTGTTGCCGTTAAAGGGAAATAAATTCAAACTACCAATTAATTTAGGTTATTGGTTACATTCAGAGAAGGACATTTTTGTTTTGATTCAGGATCCTTGATGATGATGTAAACACGGCTCTGACAACAACACAGCTAGAGGGACTCGAGCTTCTCACTCATTGTAGACAGTCGTGACTCAGAGAAGATAAACTTGATTTCTGCTGTATTTATGTTTAAAATGACGCACATTCTTCCTTTAAGGTGCAGTAAAAAAACAGTGAGGTACATGTATGAAAACAAGACGGTAATAAAGCAGACACGTAAATCAGCGGTGGTCTTGACGGGTCTTGTATTAAAATCCGGAGGCCTCTTTGTCTGCTCCCGAGACGAGGCCTTGACAAAGACGGATCAGGAGTACTTTAACACATGTGGTGCTGGTATGTGTCTGATGATACAAAAGTAATAATAAGTCACCTCTGTCACATTCTCAGGCAGCAAGGTCTCCAGTTTCTTGATGACCATCACGCACAGGCTGCAGACAGGGCCGAAGAGCTCCTACAGACGAGCAGATATTTATAGTATGAAAACATAAAACAAGTTTCATTTCACCTTCAGTGTAACATCCACTTCTCTTTCTCTCACTCACATGTGTGTTTGCGGCTGACTCGAGGACAGGGCTGGGTTGGTGTTGGTCAGCTGCTTGGTGAGGAAGTTTCAGTTGTTCTTCCTCCTTGTGGGCGACGCAAAGTCCAAACACCGCACAGGTCTGCGCCGGTTTCTAACATACACACATTACAGGTGATAAACCGTGAGAGAAAACCAGAAAAGTGATTATCCTTCATTCACATGTCTAAAGAGACGCCTGAATGGAGGCTGGACTCACCAGGTGACCAGGTGTTTGCTGCAGGACTTTAGGTAAATACGTCTTCACCTGTGATTCACACTCTGACGCCTGTTCCCCGGGGAGGCGGCGGCACAGAGCGTGCAGCGCTTCATAGACGGTCTCCTGAAACACACGGCAGGAAGTGTAATAAGTCGGCGCGCGTTTAAAACAGCTGTTTGTTGTTTGAGATGGGACTGATCCGATCTTCAGGTCCGATATTGACGTAATTTACGTATCGGACTGACGGTCTCAATCCACGCCACTGATCAAGAAAGATAATCGGGCACTTCTTAAACATTCTTAGCTCACACAGTCTCTCTCTTTGAAGACGTTCAGACTGAACTGTAAGAAGTGTCCACAGGTCGTCTCCATGACGACGTTCAGATGAGATGCAACAGCTCCTTCTATGAGATCAAAAGTCATTTCTTACACTTCAGTTTAAACGATTTATTTTGAAAACCTGACAGTTTTTTGCTGCTTCCTGTTTTGTCAGTGCCACGGTTTTGCTCTGAAATTTGGGGTTACACATAATACCAACAACAACAACAATAAAATGATCAGTTATGATAATAAAAACATCTGAATGAGTATCCGTATCGAACTGAAAAACACAATCTCTCACTCAGACACTTTTCATCTAATTATCTGGAACCTTTAAAAGCAGATTCAATTTAAGGAGCTTGAAAAACCTTTAAATTATAGGAAAAAACACACTTTAAAAACACATGTTGTGTTTCACAATTGATGCAAAGGTGAAGTGAAACTGAACGCTCTCACCTTGGTGTCTCTGCTGGAGATCATGTTGGCGGACAGCTGGACGACCTGGCTGCATTCTGAACAAATATCCAGCGACTGAAACAGAGAGGATAAAGTTAGATCATAATGTCAGTGTGGAGACTCTCACCAGATCTGATGCACAAATAAAGACGGATATGTTCATCTT